ACCACAGAGAAGTCCTTGCCAGGGTGATAGTGGAGGGAGAACACTGAGCAAACTCACATTAGCTATCTTCTGGGATTCCCTGTAAAAACCTCTCAAAGGCTAACCCAGGAACATCAGTCGCTACACGTGTGATGCTAGCACTTTATGGTCAATGCTGTCAATGACTCCTGCAAAATCCAGTAGGGACAACAGAATACGACTTCCTTTGTCAACTTCTTGGCAAAGAGCAGCAACCGAGGCCAATTGCAATGTCAGTGCCGTACACTGAGCGAAAGCCTGATTGGAAAGGACTTCAGTCTTCACAATTTAAGTGTTGGATGGTGACAGGAATGGCAACAGAGCTAGTGCACTTGCTCCACTGCCCCTTTCATGTGTTTGGTTTACTCTAAATTGAAAATGCCTGGACAGGGCTTAGAAAGCTGACAGAATCCAGGTGCGCCTGAAGTTGCAGAGTGAGTGCTCATTCAACAACCTTTTCTAGAAATACAGTGGTACCTCGGGTTATAGACGCTTCAGGTTACATACTGTTATGTACTGAAGTTCTCACCCTGGGCCAGCAGGGGGATACTGTAGATAGTTATGCAAATAAGGGATCGAAAGTGACGTTCAGTGATTGGATAGTTTTAGAAAATTGTTACAGTTACATTGTACTGGAGCTCTATATAAGCAGGCTGACTGAACAGTTCAGTTCTGTCCTGGCCTGTGAATAAACAAGAGCTGTTTGAAGAATCGCTGTGTTGTCTGATATGTTCACCCACAACTTAACACATACGCTTCAGGTTACAGACTCTGCTAACCCAGAAATAGTGCTTCAGGTTAAGAACTTTGTTTCAGGATGAGAACAGAAATCGTGCTCTGGCGGCGCGGCAGCAGCAGGAGGCCCCATTAGCTAAAGTGGTGCTTCAGGTTAAGAACAGTTTCAGGTTAAGTACAGACCTCCGGAACGAATTAAGTACTTAACCCGAGGTACTACTGTAGTAGGTTAGAGATAAGTCGGTAAGCGGCCAGGCTCTGTGCAAGAGGGAGCTCCTGGATGCGAGTGTCAGAGTGACTGAGATCAGCCTGCTACATCTCCCATCAGCCAGGTCTGCAGTGGACAAGTGGAAGGCAAAACACTGTGTGGAATATTCTGAGCCAGGCCTAGAAAGGCATTTGCGTACCAGTAGAGATGGATGTGTATCTAAGTCACCTGCTGTCTGTGCACACCAGTGGTTAGGGGGCTGGGGGCACAACCTGCAAAGAAGTAAGGCCCTCTGAAGATAGAATAAAATGGCAGAGAGTCTTATACAGTAGTTCTTAAAATGCTACTGTGGTACTGTCAGAGCTGCCTCCAGGTCCCAGCTCACAGAGGACCAACGCTAGCCGGTAGTAATGTACAAAAGTCTTTATTGAAGTACAGTTTCCATTTTCAAGCCGCAGCGCGCAGCTCTACGTCTTAAAAGCTAGACCGGCGAAGCTCCATCTGAGTCTCCACCCCCTGTACACCAGTTTAAGACTCTAACCTTACTCCACCTCTTCCGTCTCTCCTTTCTCCTCTGGGTCCTTCTGCCCCCCGGGGTCCCCTCCTTTCTGGACTCTTCTGACGCTGACGCTGACCCCCCTGACTCCTCTCCCTCCTTTCGGCGGGCTTTAGGACCTGGCTCCCTATCCGGGCTACCAACTGCGCCGCCCTCCTGTACATTTGAACTTGGCGCGCGCGCCCAGCCTCCAACCTTCCTCTTGACCGTTTCCTCGCTCTCCGATGGAGGCGTGGCCAATCCTGACTCATCTCCTCCCGCTGGCGGTGAGCCGCCTGATCCCGATACCTGGGACTCCTCCCCCCTACTGCGCTCTGGTGGGGAAGCTGGTCCTGATTTCCAACTGCTGCTCTCTGAGTCCCCTCTGGCCCCTTCTTCCTGGGGTGTCCCCCTAGGCACCCCCCTTGCTCTGACCATGGGAGACCCTTTCTGTGAATCTTCCGATTCGCTGGAAAGACTCAGAGACCTCGGGCCGCTGTCATCGCTAACATTTCCTTCGGATTCCTCCCCCTCGCTCTCTATTTCCTCCCTTTCCTGTGCCTCTGCTCCTGAGCCCCTGACAGGTACGGTCGTTTCAAGAAAAGTATTGAGCGACCTAAAAATCTATATGAGCACAGCGGTGGAAAACAGTTTTACAGAGGTTACACCCATTTGCTCTGCGCCAAGTGCACTTCCACTGCCAGTTTGTGACTCGGTGCAGACATGGCATTAGTCGTAATCCGCGTTAGCCACATTAATCTTAAGAAGTACTGCATTTTGATGTGTTTTCCTCCAAAACAGCTTTGATTCAATTTGAAAACATAAGCAACATGAAAACATCCGTGCCTGCACTCGAAGGCCACAGGGAAAAGACTGAGCCAGCTAGGCAGCCTTGAAAGTTGAAGCAGAAGGAATCAGTGTCTTCAAAAAGACTCCAGAGTGTCTTTCCAATACCATCTATCAGGGCGGTTAAGTTTCACACACAATTCTTTCACCTTTCCCCCCTACCTTTCAAGGCTGCTTCAATTAGCAGATGTTACCCAGCTATATGTTGAACAAATAGACTATTTTCTTGCCATAAATTATTTGTCCTTCTAAAGATGGCAAAAACTCCCTGAGAATCCTAAAGCCTTCTCTCATAAATAGTTGAATCTGGGTAAGATTACAGTGGAGATTAAATCCCATCTATATGCATGAGAAAATAAAAGTGTAAAGAGATAATCAAGTCATAAAATAATAACCTTGATAACAAAGAGGAGGGGAGATAACTGCCATTTCTTATTTATGACAGAACAAGAATGTACAGCCCTTTAGTGAAAAGAACCTTACTCAACCCTTTTCCACTTCTGTTAATCTTTAACAATTACAGTGGTACCTCAGGTTACATACGCTTCAGGTTACAGACTCCGCTAACCCAGAAATATTACCTCGGGTTAAGAACTTTGCTTCAGGATGAGAACAGAAATTGTGCAGCGGCTGCGTAGTGGCAGCAGGAGGCCCCATTAGCTAAAGTGGTGCTTCAGGTTAAGAACAGTTTCAGGTTAAGAATGAATTAAGTTCTTAACCCGAGGTACCACTGTATATGAAATGTTCCATGTTCTCATTAAGGATGATTAATGAAACCCAAAGAAGTCTACATTCTTTTCTCATGGAGTTATAACAGCATAAAATGAAGACTCCTTCTGACTATTTTGACCTGGTAGCTAGTTGCACAAGTCTTTCACACATCTGAACTGAAATTTAGAAGTCAGGCAAATGGCGCTATGAGGCAGTGGCTTTCAGACTGTGACTTGAGGAACACTGGGGTTCCTAGGTTTGAAATTATCAGAGGCTTCTCAGTGTGAAGACCAGTGCTGGTAGAAAAGGCCAACCCTACCATTAGTCAGAAGGAAGCCGCCATCTTGGGCAGCAACTGTAGAAGCAGCAGCTCTTGACTGTACTGTTTGGTGGAAAAGCAGAGTTGTGTAATACAAACTGACCTGCAGCCTCCTAACTAATCTCTTGCCTTCAGGTGCGGTACAGGATACTTTTCCAGTGCCTGCATTGAAATAAGATTCAGTTGCCATGGCTTCTGTACATGGAATGATGGAGAAGTGGAATGCTGTAATACGATTTCTGCAGAGCGAGTCGAGCCATACATAAACATGAGAGCCCAGATGCACCGCCACCTGGTTCCCTGCAGTTCTGTAGCTTTTCTTCACCTGCTGGATGAGATGAAGTTTTTCAAGGCCGTTGGCATTATTGCTAGAAAAGCAAGGTTGCAAGTTCAGCACAAACCGGGAAAGAGCACGCTTCGAGTTCATTCACCTCCTCTGTCAGCTCTTGGAAGTGGGAGTTTAATCTTCCTGCATGGGCCATCTCACTTTGTGTCCTTTTCCCGGTGCACAGTGAAAAAGCCAAATTGAGAAGTGCAAGGGGAGAGAGGGATATTGAAAATGAGTATGTGTGTAATGCATTTGTGTGTGGGTGTGTTTTGGTCCTCTTCATTGGGCATCTTGGGCCTCAACCACTTTCACTAAAAGGAATTCAGCTATGGCGGGGAGGGGAGATTGTTTCCCGCCTTCCTATAGAGGCCTATAGAGACACCCCCCCACACCTATGAAAGAAGCTGCATTCTTGTCTTTTGTTGGGATAGCACCCACCATGGGCCTCTCGCTTCATCTTATCAGGTTAGTAAAGCATGCCAAGAGCTCGCTGGCCTTCAGCAGCAGACAGAGGGCTGGCATCAAAGCCAGGAGAACAATAAATTTTCCTGACCCAGACAAGTCTTCATGTAGCAGATAGCAAAAAAAGCAACATTTTGTATGGACTTTGCTTAAAGATACCTGTTGCCATAGCAATTAGGAGCAGGCTGTTCTGACCAATGAAATAGGTTTCAGGGGCCCACAAGCTGTCCATGCATTCAGTTATCCCATCATATTGCTGGAAAGGATCGTGTATGAGGTGATCACGCACGTAATTGTTATACAAGTGTCTTGAATGTTGTCTTTGGGGTCCAGAATTTGGAAAACTCCTCTGGATCATTTATTCTTGCTGCAGCCTGCAACAAATACGAACTCTTTCCACGACACTGAAGAAGAAGAAGAGGAGTTTGGATTTGATATCCCGCCTTTCACTCCCCTTCAGGAGTCTCAAAGCGGCTAACATTCTCCTTTCCCTTCCTCCCCCACAACAAACACTCTGTGAGGTGAGTGGGGCTGAGAAACTTCAAAGAAGTGACTGGCCCAAGGTCACCCAGCAGCTGCATGTGGAGGAGCGGAGATGCGAACCCAGTTCCCCAGATTATGAGACTACCGCTCTTAACCACTACACCACACTGGCTCTTTATTTGGCTAAAGTGGACCGGTATATTTCCAGACCCCCTTTGTAGGGTAACAGTATATCTATATCTATATCTATATCTATATCTATATCTATATCTATATCTATATCTATATCTATATCCATCACCCTGAACTTACTTTGGGAAAAGTCTTTGGTAAAAAAAGACATGCCAGAATTGGAATAGGACCTTTCGTAAGGGTCAATGACACCAGTGTTAAGTGATTCATACAAAATTACCCTCCTGTTGTAAAAAAAACCAAACTTCCTCATTAGATGGTATGATGGAGAAGTGCAATGCATTTAGGGTGGATAACCTGAGCTAAGAAAGCTTTATAAGGCAGGGGTTTTCAGTCCCCGAACCTACCAAGCCAAACCACAAACACCCTCCTCTGCAAGCCTCCTTCCTGTGCCACAGACTACAGCATGGCTTTCTCCGGCAAATATGAAGTGGAAAGTGAGGAAAACTATGAGAATTTTATGAAGCGCATGGGTATGTATCTATTAAGACTTTTCGTTTGCTGCACTCAGATCAGTATTCCCCAACTGGCTGCCCTGCAGTTGTTTTGGATTTCAGCTTCCATCTGTTCTCCTGGTGGCACAGCCAGTAGTCAGAGGCAATGGGAGATGCAATCCAAATCATTTGGAGGGTACCAGGTTATGGAAAGCTGACTTAGAGAATTGCTTGGATTGTCAGCTGCTGGTTTCAGAAAAGAGAGCCTCAACATAGGAATGATGGCATCTTCAGTTGGGATCTCCTGGTGAAACTCTGCAGTCTTTCAGAGTTACACAGCATTATTTGGCAAGCAGAATAAAAACCACTGCATTATGGCAGATTGCCGTGCAGTGGTATTCTGCTTGATAGAATGACATTGCAACTCAGATTCCTGCATTCTTTTATTAATCTTTTGGTTTTTATATCACTCTTTTTGTGTTTGTATTTTTGTACGCCTCTTAGAAAATCTGTATACCACAGCAATTTAGAAATGCTTCTAAACAAATACATTGGAGGTTGTTTACATTAACGTTGTCTTTTCATTGGGCTAGGTTTTCCTGCCGACATAATTGAAAAAGGGAAAAATTTCAAGATTGTTACTGAAGTGGTACAGAATGGAGATGAATTCACCTGGTCCCAGATTTACCCAAGCGGGCATTCCATGACTAATAAGTTTGTTATTGGCAAGGAATCTGAAATGGAGACAATGGGTGGTAAAAAATTCAAGGTAAATGATTGTAGCTACTGCTTTCAAAGGACTAGCCGGGATTCAAAGTGGTGTGGCTGCGTTGGCACACTAGCAACACTTTATTGAAATGAAATCCTTAATTGTATTCAGCCAAGGCGGCAACTAATGTATGTAAATCTGTTGCAGACAACTGTTAAAATGGAAGGTGGAAAAGTGGTTGCTGACTTCCCTAATTATCATCATACTGCAGAGATTGCTGGGGGCAAACTAGTTGAGGTAATTTCCTAAAAACTTTCCTTGAAGATTAAATGTGTGATGCCCCCCCCCCCAATTTTGTAAAATGGTGTTTACAGCCTTAAAGCAAAATGTTAGCGGAAGAATGGACGGAAGGCATGATGATTTTAATGACCACCAATACCCACGTACTGGGTACGTGAATTGATCAATTCAAAATACAAAATAATTCTAAAACTAACTCACTACTATGAAGCATTTGAAAGTATAACAGGGGAGGAGGAAACACAATACTTTGCAAGCAGTGTTGCAGAGACACACTAGGTTGAAATTGTTGTTCAATAGTGCCCTCTAGAAGAAGAAGAAAAAACCTCTTTGGGCTACATTAATGATTTTTTTAAATTGTGACTTGGAAGTTTCCTCTTTAGTGTCTCCCCTCCTCCCTTAAATTCATGGCACAGTACTCCTGAATCATTAGCAACTGTAAAGGGAATTCACAAAGCATTCCAGGATGTTAACAGCTATATTTTCAATCCCAGCTTCCAGCTTCATTAGCAATGTTTGCTTTATCCTTTACTGCAGATTTCTACAATTGGCGATGAAACTTTCAAAAGAATCAGCAAGAGACTGGTCTAAGAAGCCGTTGGAGGAGGAATAATTGTGGCCTTACTGATACTTGAAAAGTGAGCAATAAAAAACCCCAATATAAAGTAACGAACTTAAGAACTTTGTTTATTTCTGCATTTATTTATTGATTGGAAACAAGTGCAATAGGCAGAATGGGTCTAAATATACAGCAACTTCCTATGTTCCTACTTTGCTAGAATTTTAAACTTCCCAACAGTGCATAGCGTAGGGCCAGTTGACACTCTCACCTGATAGCATTACGTGTCTTATTTTTTATGTGTTAAAGAAGGTATTATTTATAATTCTATGACATGCAAAGCAGCTCTCAGTGTTGCTATCCAGGGCAACACCACCAAACAGGGGACATTTCCACACTGGGTAATGGTTGCAACCCCAAGAAAAAAGTAGTACGTTGATACCCTATGATCCAGCCTTCCACGTGATGCAAAACCTCCCTCAATTATTGCAAGGACAACTTCATATTTTTGTTACTGGGCTCCTGGCTCCTTGGAGCACTCACAAATGTTTGCATTTTGCATGTGCTGAATTTATTTGGCTTGTTTCTTCCCAAATGGCAAACACAATTCCTTGAACAAGAGATAAGCTCATTAGTTAGAAGGATCAGGCAACAATATTCTACTGTTCTTTAAGCTCTCAGGGAGGAAAAAACAAGAGAACACATGTTCAAATGCTGCCCTCTCCATTACAGGGAAGCCATGTGTTGGGGCTCGATCTTGCACAGTCACTTAGCAACCAGGCCCCAGCATGTGTTCCAAAGTCAGAGCTCACAATGCACAAATCCTTTAAGGCTCCAGCTTGCTGACTGATGGGAGATGATGCCACATTTCCATCTGAAATCAGGGGTTGAACTTTCATCCCCCCAAACTTAAGCACAGATGTTTGCTCTGCTGCACCTTTACACAGCTGCTACCCCTCCTCCCACCCACACCAATTTACCCTTCCTTGGAAATGGCACTGAATTTCAGACAAGAAATAAGTACCTTTGTCTGGCTCTCACTGTCTAGACACCATCCAGCCAAAGGGAAGCTTCCTAATGAGTACAATAGAAAAACAGTCTACAGAAGGGCACCGAGACAAATTTATTCAGAATTTGAGGCCAACTGAGCCAAAAAGACTAAGGTTTAAGGCACACTTTATTTAATTTGGATCTACTATCTCTACTGCCTGGCATTATAAAGCAACCGAGGATGAAAATATTATTTGAACTTCTTTTCCTAGGACTTCACCAATTCAATACGAGTAACTTGAAAGCCAAAAAGGAGTTTGGTTAGCATTTGCCTAGAAGCCTTCAACTTCTATGCCAGAAAAAGTCAGCAGTGATATTTTCTCTATTGGAAAGAAGGTCCCATCTTTTTACATCAAGTATCCACTCTGATGATGATGATAATTTATTTATACCCCGCTCATCAGCTGGATTTCCCCAGCCACTCTGGGTGGCTCCCAACTGAATATTAAAAACGCAATACAGCATTAAACATTAAAAACTTCCCCAAACAATGGTATTTGCAACTCACTTCAGCATTAATTTTAGAATGGGTGGTTTAAAAATAAATACTTCACATCACTAGATTTTCTTATTCATTCAGTTAAAAATATCTCAGAGTCCCATTTCTGAGTCTTTAAACAGTGCATTTTATATTTGTGTGCATGCAATAAAAGATGGCCAACATGTGATAATTCATCATGTATCATCACACTTTCAAATCGCATTTGCAACTTTGCAAGGTAGACAATTGCAATATTAAGAGTAACTGATTTTAAAATCCATGACAGCCGAGTGTCCCAAGATACTGAATTATGTTCAACTTCCAAGTGTCCATCGCTCTAGAAGTCACACGGCTTTGAATTTAGTTTGTCACAAGCCACCGAGAAAGCAGTTGCTCATTCAGGGGCTCTTTTTAGACATAGCACAGAAGAGGGCTTAGAGCCAAACAGCTTGCAAATGGAAGGCAAGAGAAGAGTAGTGTATTCCCTGCTTCCTGCTCTGCCACAAGCCCACTTTGGGGAACCCCAAATCCTCTGGAGTTACATTTTCAGGGACAGAGGGGATGATCAGCAATTCTCCCACTCCAAGTGCCTTCTGCACATATGGCAAGCTAATAGTAGTCAGTAAATGAGACACATTGCTCTTCCCATTCATGTTTCCCACGCTGCTGAGCTGAGCTCCACTTTAAGTGTCTTAAGCTGTCATAAAAAATACAGGTTGTTCTGACTTCCTGCCATGACAATGGGCACATTGCATACAGACAGCAAGACCTATGCCAGCTGATCCCACCAATATTTGAACAGTCTCCCCTAACCCTACATATATAATCACCTTCCGTAATGAGTTGGCTGCCCAGTGTGAAATTCTACATTACGGTACCTTGCCAACCATTTGGTTAGCATTGGCAGTAGAGTTGACGGGGGCTAGGAACATGCACACAGATCCAAGGCTCTCACACACTTGATCAATTAATAGGCGGGAGCATCATCGGAAGAGGCCCTTGAGGAATCCTGCTGCCATCAGTCTATGCAAAGGATGCATAGACTCAGAGCAATCATTCCACAAACAGGTTTCTCAAGTCATACGTAACTGCCATGTGCAACTAGTTAAATGAAACCACTCTGCTGTCATGAATTTAGGTTTGCCATCACAAATTGCAGCGAACCAAGAAATGAGTTTATCATATGATTATCATCATGCCAATAGCAGCATGATGGGTTTTTACAAGGGGGGTGGGAAATGTACACGTACGAAAGGGAAGCAGCGGCAGACATGGTTTCCCGAGGTTTTTCTTCCAAAGCCTTGTACCATATTGCAGCATGTCCCATTTCCTTGTTACTTCTTTCATAAATGACTTGTGTGTGATCCACTGCTGCAGTTCTAAGCATATTAAGAGCTAATGAAACAGTAAAGCGTCATATACTAGGAAAACATCACGTTCACCTGCAAATACTGAGAAGAACTTTGATTACTAATGGAACTGTGAAATACTTCAATAAAGCGAATGACCCGAGGGCACAAATAGTGTGGTAGACCCTTCTTCTTAGGAGTATACAAGAAGCGGACACACACATAAGTATTTCGCACTGTGTTTATTGAATAACCTACTGTAAGATGGAGATACTTACGAATGTCAAATGGGGGCGGGGGAGGCTTTTCTGCAAGGCTAATAAAATGAACACATTGGATTCTACAACCAGAGCTTCCTCAGTAGTATTTACACAATTAGGTGGTTAAAATTTGCTTACAACACACAAAATATTGTAGATACCAAGTCGTATATAAATACAAAAAGAAAACTTCCGGATACTATTCTAATTTTTTGCATAAACATTTTTCATTTAAATCTGTAACAAAAAGGGAACACAACATCTACTTTCATTTTGCTTAAAGTGTGACATGCCCAGACTACAGTATACTTTAGAGACATCAGTCCCCAACCAACATACTTCCTCTGAAAAGGGGAAACACAATTCTGCACTCTAAAATCCAACTCAACCCTCTCATGAACTATTTTTCTAAAAATTATATAACTTAAAAAGCAGAATGACGAACATCCTACCATAGCGTGCGCGCGCGCGCACACACACACACACACACACACACATACTGGACTCTAGACAGAATAAAAGCAATATATTGCACATAGTCTGTATTGCAATCCTGAGAACCCTTTTCACAAACAATACTGGCTTTCAGTGACTAACAGGACAAACAGCTGAATATCAAGTGAGCACTTCATATTCTACCAGGAATCTTCGAAAAACCAAACCCACAGAAATCCTGCGGGAAGCTTAATCGCACCAGTATAGTTAAGTTCATGATCCTGAAGTACAGATAAGTGGAACTAAACTGCAATGAATCAATGGGACTTAAGGCAAAACATCATGTTAATCTGGCAAACCCTCCGTTCCCAAATCTGCATTTGCAGAGGTACTGCAAATGTGGTGTGTGGGAACAGGAATAAAATCTAAGTGGCTGGGTTGAGTACGTGTCACATATCAATTGAGTTTTCCCTCTACACCTGCCTCGACATCAGCTGTTTTCCCATCAGACAGGCTTCACTTTTGATTTTGGTACCTCTTAGGAAATGGGGAAGAAATTTAAATGGCTTCGGAGTAGCATTTGCATGGGGGAACTGGTAGGTGGGGTAAGCAGCAACTCCCTGTTTTATGTCCCCGCAAGTGCCTCACTTACAGCTCAGGATTTGGTTTACACAGTAAAACACAGGCTTCAAGAATCCTTTGCTTTCTCCACCACGTGTGGCTCCACTCTCAAGTAATGGGGGAAGGGAGGGGGAGAGAGAATAAGCCTTTGGATGTACAAGAGCTAAAATGGTGTCTCTATTAAGTGACATTGTGATTTTTAAAAATTATCAGTAGGCCTTTGCTTAAACGGTAGCCTAATGTCTTCGCAGGCTGTAAATGAACAGCCTCAACTCTGGTTCAAGGACTGCAGCTTTTAAGACTGACCAGTTTCCAAGGTTACCTCAGGTTCCCTTACTCATGGATCCCTTTAAAAAGAAAATCAACTCCTTCCACACACATTTGTCCATATTTAGATAATTAACTCAAACGGCAAGACCAAACATACCACACTAAAAGGCAGCGATTCCTGCAATATTAAGAACATTTTGACAATGAATTGTTTTCAAGTAAACATTAATCCCTGACATAAGTTGTAAACCATGTTTTCCCACAAAATGATCTTTTAGTTACTTAAGGCAGCAGCATCTTAAATATTTTAGAGGTAAAGTTAAGATTACATTTTAAGAAAAATACGATAAACTTGAGGCCCAAGTGGTGTTTTGTCTACTGATGCCTCACCAGACAAATTAAGGCAAAAGTGGTTTGACTTGTGTTCCAAGTTTAAAGTCTTGTTCTGTGAAAATTCCAGTCAAAGCACAGCAAGGAACATTCATTAAAAAAATTCCAGTGACAGTTTCAGAGGTATCAAGGAAATATAAGCCTTGTTAGTGTCAACAAAAGGCTCCAGTGTTATGAGCTGCCACTACAAACTGTGTTCACGGGAGAGCCATCATACAAGTATATCTGATGGCCAGAAGTTTCTCCAGGTTTCTGCTTTTCAGAGTAATGTTTTTAATTACAGTGTTATTTATTTCAAGTTCGTTGGCACCCCTTCTATGGAGGCACCCCAATTTCAGTAAGTCACTCTTGCAAAAGTAGCATCATGAATTTCGAGGTATATTTTTGCATTTCTTCTCAGAAAAATCTTGCTTCTGCAGGAAAGGCACCCATGTTTTAAATGTTAAAAAGAAAAAAAGAAAAATCAATGAGGGATTTTTTTTGTCCAAGCTATTGGCAAGTAGTTGCTCCATTGAGCTCCTTTCTATGGTGGCAGGTGCAACTCAGTTTACATATCACCAATGTTTTCCTTCCAAGATGTACTGGTCCTGTCTCACCCCCTTCCTCTGCAGGTGCTCATCCATCAAAACAACCTGTTGTGTAAGAATGATGCCCGCTAAAATAGCTACTGCCATAGGTCAGAGCGAGGCAGTGCCTGGGCTCCGTTGAAATGGCTACCTGCATGGTGATAGGCCCTTGAATGGACACTGTTTGCAAAACAGGCTGAAAGCTGGCCTGCAGGGTGGAGTAGGAATGCAGGGAATCGCTATGGTGGCCCGAGGCAAGGCCACTCAGTCGAGGAGCTTGTAAAGAGTCCCGGTAAGCTGAGCACAGATCCTGTATTGGGGAGTGGAACTGCGGAACGACAGCCGAATGCTGAGCCAGGGGATGATAACGCGATTGCTGAAAGAGAACTTGAGTCGGGGTTTGAAGGGTGAGGCTTTCCACAACTTGCTGCTGCTGCTGCAACAGCTTCACACGATCCTTTTCCTTGTTGGCTTCTTTGATGTCCTTATCATGAGCTCTGTTAGATAAAAATAAAATCACACACAAGCTTAAAGGCCAGGGTTTTGAAACAGAAAAATAAAATGTGACAGGTAAGTAACTAGCAATCGCTGGGGGTTTTTGGGGACTACAACTCCCATCATCCCTAGCTAGCAGGACCAGTTGTCAGGAATGATGGGAGTTGTAGTTCAAAAACAGCTGGAGATCCAAGTTTGGGAAACACTGCTCTACACCTATGTCTGGGAATGCTCCAGGCCATTTGGCAGGCATGGAATGTTTTAGAATCATGTTTACAAAAGCCGCACTGAAAATTATAGTATTTACAATAAAGTTACAGACACCAAAATACCATTTGCCATCTTATGTCCTAGACCAGCAATGAGAAATTTGTAGACCAGGGTCTGGATGTGTGTACCGGACCTTTTAAAGAAAAGGAATGGGCCACCAAATTTAGCCATGTCATAAATAACTGTGCTCATCTGTACAGAAAGGGAACAAGGTTTCCCAGTGGGCTTACCAGCTCTACCACTGAGGCTTTTTGGATCTTTGCATGAGTATTATTAATAAGGCAGGCAGCTATGTCAACTGTAAATAGCTAGGGCACTGGGGACGCTACATGTTTGCAATCAACATGGAGTCAAGAGTCACACCAGGTAGATGTTAATGTTTGAAATTCTGTCTGCATAGATAATTTGACGTATTAGTCGCCTGAAAAAACTAACACATAAATAAAACAATGTTCATCAGGTGGTTGTTTTTATTCAAAACTTACATAAGCATGAGTTCGATACATGGAGCAAGATGCTCCCAGGAATAACAAGTTAACAGCTGGAGCTGTGCAGTCCAAGAAGGAGAAACCTCAAGACAGATGCGCGAGGCTCCCACACAAGCAGCAGCAACCAGAGAAGGCCGAAATGAGAGAAAAACATGATCTGGAAGAAAAGGAATTTCAAAATTAGGCCCAAGCCCCTCCATCCATAAATGGCAAGACTTTGTCAACTTCTTCCAGCAAGTCTGGCAGCAGGCTAGTGTGATGTATAAGCCTTCTGGCTGGAGACTAAGACACCACAATGACGGCTTTGGCTCAAGAGAGAGCAAGTCAACTTAGGTCAGCACTTCTTGCAAGCAATGCCACTAAATCTACTGTAGTCTCTTTGTGTGCACAGTGCAACTTTTATTATGGGCAATAACTCAGGCTTCGAAGGGCGCTCTTAACCCAGCATCTGAGAGATCATTGCCATCTGATCTCAGACTTTATAGACCGTTTAAGACTGCAATCATACTGGAAATAAAACGCCATTAAACTCCGTGGGCTTTACTTCCAGACAAACATGCAGTACTACATGCCAAGTACTGCCTAGCTTTAAGATCCAAATATTGCATATTTCGTTTTTATATTTTGGATTAGCTTAGGGGCAAAATTGAGGAAATGTGGCTTTTAGTGGTTCTCAAACTTGCTTCTTCCTTGTGGGGTGGCAAAAGCTTACCATCCCAAGTTCTAGAAGCAAAGGTTGGCGTCTTTGCTCTGAGGTAAGCAGTGGCAAACATAGGGTTGAAATCACACTTCTTCCACAAAAAGACAACAACCAACTCCTATGGAGCTGCGGGGTAAAGGGGAAATGGATGAAAATCACATTTCCACCTTTCCTTCAACAGGAGAATCCTGAGAGTGGAATTCTACTTGTGGCAGCCTCTACGCAGCCCCCCTATATTAAAACAAGAATTGTGGGTTAGCTTGGTCCAGAGTATGCCTAACCCCAAAACAAGGCCTCAAAGAGCAAGAATTCCCTTTGCCAAAGCCTGATTTCATGCCTTTTCTAAGGTGAGGCAAATATTTTGGTGGCATTTGCATTAAACACAATGTTTCTCCATATCCGAGGACTGCTATAATCCTGATAAAAGCTACTGCAAGGCAGACATGTGTTTTGGGCTTCTGGACCAAGAAATTACCTTGCAGCGAGACTTCTAGGAAATAGTGAGAATATTTCTCCATGAAAGCTCTGACTTTGGTCACGGACGTGATAGGCCAGCCATTGTGAAGATCGCTCTCGCTAACGGAGGCAAAGAGGTAGTAATCGATGTAATGTGCCGGGGTTGGCAGACAGAGATTCCAGTTAAAAGTTTCCAGGAGCAGAAGCTCCATCTTCAGCAGGTCTTTCTTGGTTAGCACCAGGTTAAGGCTACACATGTAAGCAAAGCTGTTGAGCTGGTCCAGTTTGGGCACCTTGTCCTCCTTCTCTTCAAACTTGCCTATTGGAAAGAAAGAACAAGCCACTTGAGTTCAAGGCATTCTCTCCATCTAGATTCTCCTGAACTCAGCTAGAAGCCAATGCTGAAAAACCCAGAATTCAGAGATTCTTCAGCCAGCCGTTGCCACTGCATGAGATAAACTCTAGTCCAGACATAGGCAAACTCAGCCCTCCAGATGTTTTGGGACTACAATTCCCATCATCCCTGACCACTGGTCCTGTTAGCTAGGGATGATGGGAGTTGTTGTCCTAAAACATCTGGAGGGACGAGTTTGCCTATGCCTGCTCTAGTCAAACACAAATAGTACAGAGTATAAAATTATGGGAGCTTTGGAAAAGCATGCAGTCCACTTTCACTGATGAGTCAACATGGAAGAAAACTAGAGCTGCTCACAATGTGTGAAAGCAATGTATTATTTTACATAAAGATGAAATATAGTACATAACCAAGACCAGCACATATGGAAAAATGTTGGCCCACACTTCAAAGAAAAAGGAGGAAAATACACATTATGTTCAATCCGGTTATCTGATTATACACTTTTATTTTATGTCAACTATTACTAATAGGAAAGTGTGATTTAAACAACTATCCCAACCCTTCCAACAGGCACTGCTCAATATTTAAATTTATAGGCCTTGGAAGAATCCAGTCCAGTCTCTACTTTAACAAATTCCAAGAATCCTTTTTCCTCCAGTTTGACTAGTTTCTTTTATTTGCCATCAATATTTTTCCAGCCTAGCAGGATTTAAGATAACATGCAGTAGAAAAGTTTTCTCCCCTGCCCCGCCTTTTTGCCAGAGTGGAATACAAAGGCCAGACAATGGACTGAGGAAGGGTAGCAGCTGTAAGACACTGAACAGCTTCTGCTGCTTTTGTAGTTTTACAACCACTTCCTTATCTCCTTTCTAGATTGCTCCCTTGAAAACACTGCAGCCACCCTCATCAAGGACTGGCCTTTAAAAATATAAAATAAAACTACTGAGACACAATGCTCATCCCTATATGGACTAGGACCCTCGTACCTACGGGACCGCCTCTCCTGGTATGCCCCATGGAGGACCTTAAGGTCTGCAAATAATAACACTCGGATGTTCCCAGGCCCCAGGGAGATTAGATTGGCCTCGACCAGAGCCAGGGCCTTTTTAGCTGTGGCCCCGGCCTGGTGGAACACTCTCTCACAAGAGACCAGCACCCTGCGGGATTTGACATCTTTCCGCAGGGCCTGCAAGACGGAGCTGTTCCGCCAGGCCTTTGGTCAGGGTTCAGTGTGATTCTTTTCTTTCTGTATAAGAACAAGCATTAAAGAGGCCTCCTAGCCTGTTCACAGATCCTTTATATAAGACTAGTGGTAACATTTGGCCCTGGAGAATATTAACCACTCTCAATTTTACCTGTGGACTGCCATCTGTCCAGATTTTAATTTGTTCTGAACTAATTTTAAGATGTATTTTAATTAATTGATTGCCTGTTCTTATGTTCTTTGTATACTGTGTTAGTTTTATGATGTTAGCCACCCTGAGCCCAGCTCTGGCCGGGGAACAATTATTATTATTATCCTTAAACAGACAAAATATTATGTCAGTATAGCAGCTTTGGACAGGAATATATACAACATGCTAACAGGACAAGCTATGCAAGCATGAGGTTGGCAAAAAGTAGATCCTGTCTATCTTGGCCTGGTTAATCCACCAGCAATTATTCTTTTTGACAGCTGTAGTCTTTAAAAAGAGACTTGAGAGGCTCTAAACAAGTCTTCTCTAACTTGCTCTTGGACCCTCTGTCGAAGTTGGACACCAATCCACCATCAGCCTCAACTAGCATGGCCAGTGGTCAGAGGGGACCATGCACAGGGCACCACATTGTGGAAGGCTACTCTAAGGGTTGGTTCCGAAGTTACCCACCTGCATTTCCTCCCTTGTATAAAGCTTTGGGTTATTAGGACACGTGTCTCTCTGCAAGGCTGACAACTATGTTTTTCTAAAGTGGCCAAAAACTAAAGGGATTCTAGGAGGATATAGCTCAGGATGGATCACTAGGTAAGTACATAGAAAGGGCTGCAGTTTGAGGATGAACCTGCACAGTATCTGCTCTCCATGAATATAATATGGCAGGGGTCAAAGGTGCCCTCTAAATATAACAGGAACCCCTTTCCATGGGCTCAATCCACAATTATCGAGTAATATTTAAATGTCAATGTGACGGGCCCCACAGGCTCTGAATAATACAGTAATGCAAGGGGTGATCTGAAGGAAAAGCATCACCCACGGCCTCATTTCAAGGGCATAAAAATGAACCTGTTACTCTCTGTAACAGCTGAGAATCCCTTAAGCACAGCTTGAAACTTAAGGCTCCTCCCCATACGAGCAAAAAAGAAGTACATCACTGCAGGAAATTCTAGGCAAAGTTGTTGATACTCTGTTCTAAAAGCAAGAGAAACTGCAAAGAGCAATAGTCAACTATATCATACTCCTCTGGGAAGGGACCAATAGTCTTTTCCTGTTCCATGGTTTCAAAAACGCTTTAGATGGTACCTGCTCAAAATAAACAACCTAAAATTAATGAATTGAAATAAAAATGTTTTCATCAGCTTAGGGCATTTAACCGATAAACAGCTTACTTGTCCCCCCCCCCACGGACAAGTAATAACCACAACAGCATGTGTGCATTAACAGGCAAGCTTACTCACTTGCGAGGAGGAGGCAGGCAATCGAGATGACATAGAGCTGTTTGACAGCAACATCATAGCGGTCCATAAAGAGATCCAGCAAGTACACAGCAAGGTGTCGGGCTGTGGGGCAGAGCTGGCAGCGGCTGCTGAGGATGGCCAAGAGGTCAGCAAAATAGCGCCGCATCCCGATTTGCGGAGAATGGGCCTTGTACACAGGCAGCTTCAGCTCCTATGGCAACACAAAGGAGGGGGAGGAAAGAAAGAGAGACAGAGAGAGAGAAGGGGTATTAACATGAATATCCATTTCAGAAGCCAAAATCCACAGATCACCATACACCACCTGTTCTGGCAAGTGCTTAGCAACTAACGCAATAAAAAGCAACCCAGCTCTTGTTCTGGATGAATATCCAACCTGTTTTTGAAAGACAATGCAACTTGCGACAACTATTCATACTCCTGAGAATCAGGCAATGGGCAGGGGGAGAGCCACACTAAACAACAACAACAACAGCAATCCACCATCAGCTAGCAATCCCCTCCCACAGGGTTCAAGACCAGGAACCAACATTATTTATAAAGAAACAAACAGACTGCTGCGCCCATTGAAGACCAACGCATTTATGATGGTATAACCTTTCATGGACTGCCACAATAATTGTTAGTTTTTAAGGGGAGCTATTATTTTATTTATTGTACAACTGTATAAACTGCTTGACAGTCTGAGGTCACCAAAGCAGTGTACAATACAAAGATAAAATACAAAAAATACAATATTCAAAGCATAGTTAAAACCAATCATACAGGTGTACAATTAATTTTTCATTAACAACTGTGTCACACCTATTAGACCTGGGAAAAGCGCCCCCCCCCTGTGTGTGTGTGTGTGTGTGTTTTGGATTAAACATCTCAATCCTGCTCAGGGCCCCAACAGCTGCTACTTACACTAGAAAACTTAAGACATGTTAATTTAGGCACTCAAGGAGTTGGCTTCAGGTCTTGTTTGGCCTAGAGGCAAATTCAGCAGAAGGTTGGAATCCAAAGGCAAATTCAAAAGAAAAGTTTATCTTCCATTGTTGGCTCTCTCAAGTAAAGAATTTAGAAATCACCCATTTACGGGTTCAGAACAAGTCAATAACTTTTCAATGACTTACATAGTCATTTTTGGGCACTATTTAATCAAACTGCATAAAATGAAATTGCAGCCCAGACAAGAAATTTAAAGTTGAAGCCCACTTACAGGTCCACTGTATTAAAAGTATGAAAATGGGACGAAATTATTTTTTAAAAGGTTAAGCCAGTTCATGAATTACTTCTTAACCAACTGCAAGATAAGACCTCTTACATAAAAGTACAGCACTGTAAATATTTATGTGAAGGTGAAGAGGACCCATTTCCTCAGGCAAACATGCTTATCTGTCTGTTTAGACACAAGGCCCATTCACAAGCTAACATAACAATTATTAGATGGAAGCCTCCAGTCTTGTTCCAAGAGGCAACATCTCATTTGACCTCAGCAGATTCCAGATGAAGGTTTTAAAAACATCCCAGGCAGGGATGGAGTTGAGCTGGCTGTATTTGAAGGATCCAGCTTTCCAGAAAAGTTGCCTAAAACCAAAACACCCCGTCTTCTAGCTAGCAAGGAATTCTACAATGCTCACTGTACAGCTCAAAACACCACCTTTACACCCCACCCCATGGACACAACTCTTCATTTACAATAAATATTTACCATATAAGAGTATAATTACAGTAGATTCAACAAGAGGCATGCTGCACCTGATGGCTTTGTAAGCAGCTTAGGTACGTAGGCAGACAATGCACCACAACATAGAGGCCATGTGCATACATTCTCTTTCCAAAATGACCTGTGCATCCGAGATCACACATCAACTGAACGCACACAAAATGGCCGCCACCTGTACTGACACGCCATTTGGTACAGGACTGGGCATCATTCTGCCATCACTCCTCCACACACATTTGGAATTTCTAAATGAGAACCAATGTCATGTGAAGCCAGTAGGGCAGGGTTGGGGAAGTCCTCCAGATTATGTTGGACAACCAACTCCCAGCAGCCCCAGCCAGCATGACTAGCAGTCAGGGATGATGGGAGCTGATGATGGGATGTGTAGTCCAACATCAGGAGCGCCACAGGTTTCTCATCTCAGCAGAATGGACACCATCACATCATCTGCTGGGCACTCAATAAATACTGTAGGCACTATCCAACACCGACTGTGCCAGGGAACACAACAGATTCCCTCCCTCTGCTGCCCACATCTGCTCTGAAGGGCTGCCAAATCTTCAAGAAGAGATCTGGTGCTGAATGAAGGGGAGGAGGAAAAGCCCAGCAGCGCAAGAGTAAGTTTGTTGCACAACAAGCTGACACGGAAGGACGTCATCCTTTGCCAAATACAGTGAAATATGCCTAAGAATCAATTTCAGAGCAATATTTCTAGTCAGAAGTGTGTCTTGGAACGTTTGCTTGGAACATTAAACAACAGCAACAATACTGTCTTTCCCACTTCCAAAATTTCTAAGGACTCGATCCCTCTCTAAAGTTATATTCAGAAGCACAGTACATTTGGGGAGCCAGCAACCCATTTATGTTCCTTTCTATTTGAGGATGTGAACTTAATTTTGCAAACGCAAGCAAGGAGCCATATGTCAAATGGCGTAGGGCCTACTGTTGAGAAGGGACAGGTGTGCCAAATGATAACAAAATCAAATTATAATGAAATCCTGACATTTGCTCATTATTTCCCAGGATTTAAAAGGACCCAGGCCAACCGTCTATTGTGGCATTTCATTCAGCTATATATATAAGTTACACACAAAGACAAAGCTATACATAATTTTCTTTCCAAAGAAAACACACAACAATTCAAGTTACTTTTCCTGTGTAAATTTCACCTTGAACAAGTATATTCACTTTGACATATTCCAATTGTAACCAAAGAACACAATGAACAATGGAAAAATACAAGCCAAAGGAAGGTGTAGGAGGGGTGAAAAATATATGCCCTGCAGCCTATTGCTATTGCCTGTTTTGTGTGGGCTGGTGGAGGGTTCTGAGAATTACTAGTTTTCCTTTTGTGAAAAGATCTTCCATTGTGTCCATGACAATTTCTTAGATTACCCTCATGCTTCAAGGCTTACCCATGCCAGAATGTGTATGTTATCCTCAACAATGCTTTGTGAAAGATCACTAAAAAATTTACGTATGTCCACACTTTAACATAATTATCACCACCTGTATTTCCGACATCTCCATTTCCCTCTAACTTCATGGCTAACCCCTTTCTTTCTTTCTTTCTTTCTTTCTTTCCATGTGCATATACACCTGTCAACTCAGGATGATGCGTCATACATCTAGTGAAGCAGGCTGTAGTTGACAAAAGCTAACACCATAATAAATTTTGTTAAGTCTTTCAAGTGCCACAAGGCTTTTGGTTAATTTGAGACGCAACACTCGACATGCAGACACCCCCTCCATACTTGCAAATAGCAGGAACATGAACCTAAGACACATTTTCCCCAAGTCATGCTTGACACCTGTTCAAGGCTCCATAAACACTGCCTTTGCCAAGACATGGGAACAAACCCCCAGACAGGGGAAACATCTCTCACGGAGGAGGGACAGGACAAAAAGCTAGGTATAGTGGAGGACAGGAACCTGAGCAGGCTTGCAAGGAACAGCACCGCAGTAACCAATTCAGACCAGCACAGGTGCACAGCACCCGCAATATTAAAGCAAGGATTTTCACCAGAACTAATAAGGAATTTAACACAGTTGAGAGACATTTCCTTGTAAATGTATATATTTCATGCTCTAGGAGCTCAGAAAGGCGCATCACTGAATTCGCTCAGGGAAGGGGCTCATTCAGGACAAACCTATACAGTACTGTCAGCTTTATCTCAACTCCCTGACCCATTTGCAAGGCAATATCCCTTTCACACATATCCCTCTTAGCATGAATGTGTCTTAATCAAGTCCCCAGTGAAAAGTTGCTTTCATATGGCCCTCTTCCTTGTCTGCATTACCACACTCTTTTCCATAAAAGCTGCTGATCCTAACTACACATTTTCTTGCAAACAAATCCCATTGACTCCAAAATCTAAATAATTGCCTTTAGGACTGGCACATTCAGTCTCCTGCTTTAAACTATCTATTCACTCCCTCTTCAATCTACAGTGACTTCTTACCAGCTTTTGCAAGAGAGTTGAAGACAATGAGCCAACTTTTTTAGCATGCAATACAGGCTCTCATCCACCTTGATAATTAATTTGGTTGAATGTATCAATTTAAGATTTTTTTGGTTTTGTTTTCCAACAGCACACTACATGGCAGCAGGATATGAATCAACACCATCATGGAGTCCAGAGTAATTACATATTGCTTTCTTCTAGACTCTAGAATGGGGGTGGGGAACCTATTCAGTATATTTCTTCCACACAAAGCAACCTATACACATTTCCTTACACTGTGTAAGGTGCAATGTACTTCTAACTTGCTCCCATTCAAAGTGCATTGAGGACTGCAGTCTTTCACTGTAAGAATCAACCACCACGGAAAAAAGTTTTAGACACAGCAAAGGCAGAGCAGGTAAGAGTGCAGAGACAGGGAGGCTAACTGACCTTCAACCTTAAAGTCTGATGAATCTCTGCTGCAAGGTCTCCTTTCCACCATGGCTCTTCCATCTTTAGACTTCCCATCCAAAACCTGGTCTGGGGGGAAAGGCAATACCTAGGTAGGGAGAAATAAACAGTGAACCAGATTAACCAACATTTTCTACCTAGTCAAGTTGTTTATGCGTTGTAGCCCAACAACCCCATCCTAGGGAAATCAACAGGCTTCAGGGCACATGTCCCTGCATGGGATCTGGCTGTTACTAAGTTCTTTTGGCTGAGACCTTTTAGTTGTAACATCCTTCACCTTCCTCGCCTCCCCCCGCCTAAAGAGAGAGGGCGAGGGGAAAGGGCAATTACATCCACGTTTTCTACCGGGGTCCAATTCTGTCCACCGAACTTCTATCAAACACCCGGGTTTTCTCCCCACTTTATTAAAGCGTCCCCACAATTGCAGATTTCCATGCGGCCACAGTCGCCCAAGAAATCTCGGCGGCCACAGGTCTGCCTTACCTGCAAGACGGGCCCCTCCCCCTCCCCGCGCCCTTTCCTTTTGCAGAAAAGCCGCCAAGGACGCTTCCATGTGCACCAGCCCATCCGAAGGGAGAGTACCTGAGAGATCTACTACCTCCTCGCCGCGATCACTTCTTTGCAGAGATCTCACCAAGGCTGTTACCTTGACTACCTCCAAAGATTTGGGAACAAGCCTCTCTCTCTCTTCCCTCTCGGCCACCCCCAGTCCCGGTCTGCTAGAGCACTCATAACTGCACAACTTCTTTGTTTAAAGGCAGGCTACCTTTAATTAAAAAGAGCCATAACTGCAAGTTGCACGACACTCCTCGCCCCCCCCCCGCAGTCCGCAACTCCCCACAAACTGCGAAGACGGCGCCCGCCCACGCAGCGCTTACCTTTTTGCCTCTCTTCGCCCTCCAAACCGGGTTCCCCAGCCTTTGTCCTACCCGGCATCCAGCTATTTCTTGCTGGAAAAATACTGCAGCCCAGGCAGAAGGGGGAGCATTTAAACTTATCTCTCTGCGCGCCCCCCCTCTCCTCCCCCTCCAGTTCCCCAGTGTTGAACTTAGAGTCTGGCGGGAAGGGCGGAGGTGAGATGCATATCCGCCCCCCTCTCGCTCCCCGCGGTGTAGCTGGTGGAGGGCGAGAAGGTGATCTCCCCGCCCTTTAGCCGCTTCTCTCCTCCTCCCTCCCTCCCTCCCCCCGCAGATCCTGCTCTGGATGGAAGATCCCAAGAGCAGGAGGAGGAGGAGGAGGAGGGGGAGATTACACGCCGGCGCCGCACTGCGCACGCGCGCGCGCACCTCGGAGCCCTATCGCTTCTTTGCGTATAGCAGCCTTCCCGCGCTCCTTTTCGCGCGGGGGAGTCCCGCTCGCTCGTTCATTCATTCATTCGTCTGTCCGCCCGTGGACTTCCTCTGAAACCAACGCCAAGGCTACCGCCGCCCGAGCCCATCTCCCCTGTCCCGGCCCTCTCGGCACTGCTGCTGCTCCGCTTCTCCTGCGGGGCAATTTCAAGAGGCAGCTTCATTCATTCAAAGCGAACTAATCCAGGCAAGGGGTCCGATCACATTGGAGGCACTAACGGGTGTAGGACCGACTCGGTTGTAGTCCGAGAGAAGAGGCTCTTGCCGTAATAGGTGCTCGTCTCCCACCGCTGTAAGTGGGATCGTGCACCAACCCTCCAAAACTGGCCTAGTTCAAAGCTCAGCTGGGCTTGCGGGATTCCTCCCTTCCCCAATACGTAATAATGATAAGCTGCATTTAAAGGAGAATGTAATGCTGGCCCCAACACATTTACTTGCCGTATTAAGAAAGCAAATTCTAGTCCTTCTTACCTGGGAACAAGCCTCATTTTAATTCAACAGGACTTATTTCTGAGTAGACACGGTTTAAGTTTGCACTGTCGATCCATGCAACAGGTCCTTTTAAACTGTTTTTACATAGTGTTTTAATTCACGTAACCCATCCTAGGACCTTAGGGCGAAGGGCAGGTAATAACAATAGCAATTTATCTGTTATCAGATGTTGGGAAAGCTGGACTTGGATGTGAAAGCACTGAGCCCAATGTAATCACTTATCATTTTAAAAGCTGCTCTGCCAGGTTTTAGGTGGGAGGCTTCCAAGCCGTATCCAGAGAAAATGCCAGATTTAAATTTGGTCCTTCTGAATGTAAAGCAGGTATTCTACCATAGAGAGATGGCCCCTCCTTCTAAGACAAAAATAGGAAAAGGCAAAGTTGCACCAAGACTTCAGTCACCGGTCAAAAGTGTCATGCGTGTAGTAGAAACTCAGTGGAGTGCACAGGGAGATGCTGTGAGTGTTGTAAAAAAGAACTACTCACAAATATTAAATGCTGTAGAAGTGCATTCAACTGGTGAAGAAGAAAGTACCAGGTCAGATGATGGCATGCTGCCTGATGCTTTTCAATTGTTTTCCTTCCTGTGCTTTTTTGGCCTTTGGGAATCCGTCCTTCTAGAACCTAACAACACACAGGTCTACCTCCAAACCAAAGGACTGAATATACAGTACAACAATGTGGCATGAAGCTCAAGGCTTTAAAAGCATTTTAAACTGAAAATAGAGACAAATTAGTTAACAATTCAGTAGCTTACGCAAAAGAAATTTGTGGTGATCTGGGGATAGTCATGGATTGTCAGTGTAGAAAGAAGAAATTGTTGGCAGGTGAAGAATCATGAGATTATGCTAAATTGTCATATGAAACTGAGTTGAAGAGAGAACTGTTTCTTTCACTGAACAGAGTGATCTAAGAAATCATCAAGAGATCTCAACAGCTTCATGAACTTGCTGAAAAATATGCCTTCCTTACTCCATCGAATCTTTTGAATGATATGACTGTCAACTAAATAATGATCATGACTATGACATTAATAGGGAAGAGTTCCTCGCTGAGAGAAAAAGACTTAAGAGTTTTGTTTCTCTTGTTGCCTCACGAGACAAAACAGAGATGTGGAAGGACAGCGACGGACCCTTTGAAGTTTTGCAGTTTATTCTAAAATACAGTCTTGGGAATTTAGTTCCAAATAGAGTAATACTGCTGCAACTGCTGGGAATTTAGTTCCAAATAGAGTAATACTGCTGCAAATTTTCCTCACTGTTGCTGTAAGTGTTGCTAGTTGTGAGAGGAGCTTTTCTAAATTAAAATCGATTAAGAATTACCTAAGATCTATAATGAGTATGTTGCATTTAAGAAATCTTGCCATACTAAACATTTTAGAAATGTTGGAATTAAGGTTTTACTTAAAAAATAAACAGTGTTTTATTTCCCTATATGTCGTGCCGTTTTGACTTTTTGTAGTATTTGTCTGTGGTTGAAACAAGAGAAAAAAGAATATAAAAGGGGTATTGCAAGTAAAGCAAAGAAGAGGGGCAGCAAACTCAGTGGCTGCCTTGAGCAGCAAAATCCCTAGCTACGCCTCTGGCACAAGGGACAACAAAAGGTTCTCCGTCCCATTCATAATTTGCATGCTCAGATGATGGAATTCATCAGCAATTGATACAATGGTGTGAGCAGTTGCTTCATTGACTGGTACCTCAATTCGTTACTGTTTGACCTCACTGCCACTAAAGATTTTAACAAGGTTGTTTTGGGTATCTGAAAACCAAGCACAGAAAGAGTGTTTCTGCTGTGAATCCTATCCTAGTTTATAAAAGCACTCGTGAGTTTTGCAAACTGATTTGCCCTCACATACGTTTTGTGCAGCAAATCACTATTTTTGCTTCTTTACATATGGAATAAATGAGGTGGGGGGAGATCGTTTGCCCAAAGCAACACCTTCTCTGATTTATTTATATTTAATGGCAGAAATATGGCTACTTGAGAAATAATTGCATTTTTTATTTAAAAAACTGTCATGATGAATGTGCGTGCACACACACACTGGCCCTGATAAACTTTTGCTAACGTTTCTTTTTTCAGTGGCAGGGCTCGTTTTGCTTTCAATGTGAGCAGCAAAGGTTGCAGAAAGGAAAGCTTCCCCCCAGAATGAGGATGTCATTATACAAATTCTGCTAAATTCTTGTTTCTAGGCCAGCTGTAGCAAGGGCAAAGCAGACAGTTCCTGATATAGTACTGTAAATAGGACCAGTATTAAGTTACTTGTGAAGATAGTACCTGCTGGGCGGAAGCAACCTGGACTTAGGTGTACAAGGGGGGAAAGAATGTTTGCTGATCCTGGTGATGGATAAGAGTCTGCAGGGAAGAATCATAATGCTGTACTTCTCCGCCTGAAGGGACAGCCATCATGTGGTAAACTCCCACCTGCTTTCCAGCTGCCGAGGAACTGAGGACCCTGAACAGGTGGGATATTGCATAGCTGAAGCAAGGATGGGGAAAGATTGAGAGGAATGAAACAGAATGTGTGATATCTCTCTTGGTGAGGAATACTAGAAGGATTTGGGCACTGATAGCTGTCCTGGCTCACAGAAGTGGGTGGGGTTAGGGAGTTAAGAAGGGTGAGATGCAATAGCTCAGGGGATTACAAACTTCTAGTTTACTTCCTTGCTTATGGCAGATTAGACATGTAAAACCTAGAGCAATTTGGAATAAAACTGCACACCAATCAACACTCAGGGAATTTCTCATGTTTCTTAAGAGCCTACCTAGGTGTCATGCTTGAGAAGAAAATATAACAAATTAGAGAACAGGCCACAATGGTTATCCTAGAATTCTAGAATCAGAATCTGGAGAGTAGCGTTTACTTATTCAAGACCTTGTTGCCAAGTAAACAAAAGTGCCAGCTGAGTGGAACGCAGAATCTGGTGATGCTTCTAGTGTTCACAGCAACATCAAACTTTACATTTATACTGAAACTGGAGTAATGCATTGCTTGTCACTTATAAAATGCAGAGCTAGAAGTTTATGTCTGCCTTTCCACAATTCCAATGCCATATACACACAGATGAAAACAAATTATTTCTGAAATCACATGTTATTAGTTTCCAGAGTGTAAGGCACATCTTTGGGTAGAGTCATGCTGAACCAAGAGTTGAGGTGAATGGTGGAAAGGCTGAAAAGTGAAGCATCCTTGTAACGTGTTTACAAACCCAGCAAGATAATGAGATACAAACCTCCATGGCCACTCACCCTTGGTTTATTATCGTATTCAGCTATAGACACGTTCCAGAGTCTTGCAAACTTCAGCTCCCATATCTGGTGGCATGGAAGTGGAGATTTAAAAGTACTTTGATTTCTTTGACCTGAGGAAGGCACATAATGGCTATGTTATGTCACTGTGAGACATGTGGGCAGGCACTGGCAGTAAGTATCCTGGCTGCAGGAAATCTGATTTTGGGGCTCACAACATGGGAAAGGCAACAGTTTACAAAATTAAAACATTTAAAAACTCACGTTTTATTCTTATTAAAGCTTTCTATTCTTATTTTTTCTTACCGCCTACCAGCAGATGCTTAATTTAAGAAATAATCAGCATATTGCTAGGCGTGTTCAACCTTAAAGGTAAAGGGACCCCTGACCATTAGGTCCAGTCGAGGCTGACTCTGGGATTGCGGCGCTCATCTCGCTTTATTGGCTGAAGGAGCTGGCGTACGGCTTCCAGGTCATGTGGCCAGCATGACTAAGTAGCTTCTGGCAAACTAGAGCAGCACACGGAAACGCCGTTTACCTTCCCGCTGGAGCGGTACCTATTTATCTACTTGCACTTTGATGTGCTTTCAAACTGCTAGGTTGGCAGGAGCTGGGACTGAGCAATGGCAGCTTACCCCATCAGGGGGATTCAAACTGCCGACCTTCTGATCGGCAAGTCCTAGGCTCTGTGGTTTAACCCACAGCACCACCCGCGTCCCTTGTGTTCAACCTTACTACTATATAATAATATTAATTTTATAAATCGCAATACCCTAAAACAGTTTAAGTCAGGGGTGGGGGACCTGTGTCCTTCCAGATGTTGCCAGACTACAACACCCATCATTCTTAACCATTGGCTATGCTGCCTGGGACTCATGGGAGTTGGAGCATAGTGACCTCTGAAAGGCCACAGGTTTCCCCCTCCCTGATTTAAATGGACAGAAGAGCAGCATTTTTGGGGGGGGGACGGACCTAAAAGAGTTTCTTTCTTACTGGGTTTCCTCCACCTTTGTGAAATTAATCCAATGGCTGCAGATTGCCTTCCCCATTTCTAGAGCCTCACTAA